CTCAATCACTTTCCAGCATTCCCTCAAGACACAGCAGAAAAATGAAAGGATTAAAGTGATTTGTTTAAGAGACCAGACAAGCTTGTTGTCTGCCCCTTTCTCCCTTGGGGCGAGAGCCCATGCCCTTCTTGTCCTGATATCACCAGGCTGGAGAAGGAGGGAACATCAGGGGAAGCCACCTGTCACCGGTCCCACGGGCAAACTGGTTGGTACTTCTGTACCAGGCAGGCCAAGCACATGCACTGCAGGCTCCTGACAGCACAGCCTCTCCATGTTTGCTAGTCCTCCTCAGCATCGCCGGGGCCTGCAGCTTCAGGGTCACGCTCAGACAGGGCGGCAGTGCTGGGCCAGCGCACAGGGACCTGAGGCTCAGGGCTGTGAGTGGCAGTGGTTGCAGTATCTGTCTGGGAGCACCTCTGCCCCGAGGCATGGACTGTGGGGGCCACCCAGCAAGGGCAACAACCATTTGGCTGACTAACCCTCCCTGAGCCCTGTTCATACTGTTCAGCTGCCACAAAGCCATGGGGTTCCACAGTCCCATACATGTTGCTGTGACCCATGTTGCCTTCAACTTCTCCCCAGGCACCCACACGCTATACAAGGGTTTTAATGTCTCCAGCTCTGGTCAAACTTCATGTCAAACTTCTCTGGTCTCCCTCAACACTCTCTCTGGCTTCTTCTCTGTGGCTCCTCCTGTTATGCTCATAGCTCTGTGTAGTACCCAGGCACCCTCAACAGTTCTTTAAGATGGGACCCCTATCCTGACCCCTGCCTGCACCCCCCTCTTCTTCCATCACACAAACCTCCCCCCCGCAAGAGCCCTGCTGCACGCTCCCCCAAAGTCCCCTAGCAACCAACAAATTCTACTCCAATGCCCCTAAATTCTGATCCAGACACCACAATATCTCCAGACTCTGTCCTAACACTGTCTGTGACCAAAGACCTCCCACAAACCGTGTTCCAATCCAGTATCACTTCCAAGTCAAGCCCCAGCACACTCAGTACCACCCCAAATCCTCACCCCAGCAGCAACTGGCTAACCTTTGAATACACTAGCATAGATATCTGTAGAATCAATTGCGAGAAACACTGAGTCCTAGCTGGGTGCCAACCATCTGGGCAACTCCAACACCATCTTGGCATCCAACATTGCAACATTGCATGCTGATGAGGCTCTTACAAGGTTCAAACCACACCTTGCCACCTGAAATAAGATTGCAGAAATATTTAGACATTTTGGGTGGGTCCCTAGGGCCCATGTTCTTCTCCTTGCCACATTGTCTCCAAGTTTACTCATTTTACAGTGCTATGGTGCTTATTTTGCTCTTTCTCATCCCAGAATAGATGACGATTGGTGTGGACAGGAGTAGTAAGAGCCAGACGTGGGCAAATGGGTCTTGGATGGCATCACAGGAGACAAGCCCTGTACAGCTCATCTTCAGCCCAAGCAGCACATGGAGAGGCCAGAGTGCTGTCATGGTGAGTGCTCTTCAGATTTTGTGGACCCCATATCCCATCTTCTGGCATTTGCTTCTCTCTTGATCCCTCCTTTCAAGCATATGTGCTCTGCAAATGCCTCAATTTGGCTTTTTTTGTGACTTGTAGATTCCTCCATGGAAGACACTGAGTGTTTTGTTGTTGTTGTTTTTTCATTTTGTCCATAAGATCTTTCTTTTCACCATGTTGTCCCCAGATTCCTGAATTTTCTTCTCCCTGTATCCAACAAATGTTTTCCTATTCCTTTTTTTTTTTTTTTTTTTGGCTACCACGTTTGGATGGGAAGCAACTAACTATTCCTGAGGCTTTGTGTTATGCTGCATTTCTCCTGGTAGGTTGAAGCATTCCTGTCCATAGTGGGTAAGAGCCTTGACGACCTTATGCTGAGGCCTCAGCAGTACTGGAGAGATGAGAGTGTCCCTCGAGTGACTGCAGGTGTCTGGATTTCTCCTGCCCACCTCAAGGGTTTCTTTGCCTACTATGGATCTGGGGTAAAAAAAGGTTGGGAGGTTCAGGGGCC